GTACCTTTCCAAGCGCCCAATCAGCAGAATCAAAGAATGCACGCTCATGGTCCTAAAATCCAAATCATAACTTAGAAAAAAAAATCACTATAGACAAAATATCCATAAAGAATCCAGACTCAGTAACAAGGCATCACCTTAGAAATAAGAGGTGGTTTCTTAGGCATTATTCCTCCATATTTCTTCTTTACAGCTTCCTCCTACATATAAGAATGAACAAATAAATAAATGGAAAATCCGCAAATAGAAGGTTTTTTAATCATGCAGATACATGTCTACAATAAACCATGCATATTATCAACTAGAAGGCAGAAAAGAATGACAGACCTCCTGTTTAGATGAAGGCATGCAGCTTTTATCCTCGAAAAGATTTCCGTTAACCTGCTCTTGCATGTTACCATCCTCCATACCTGAAACTACCACAACAGTATAACAGTTGTCATCATAAACAGACATTTTCCTTACATCAATCAAGTATCACAAATCCTCTGTTCGAGCATACAAACTTTAACCAGATCCGGAGAGAACAAATCTCAGCAAGCTTGAGAACTGCTTAACAAGATGCTTGCTACTACTATACTAATCAAACACAGCACTTCCGAATCTAACCTTTTGTTATGCATTCCAAACATTCCTTCAAAACCACAAAATAAAATCAACAAAGACTCGTCTAAACATTCCAAACTCCTATGCCCACACGTGCCAAATTCAACAATAATTCCGGAAAATCACTGCTAAATCACATTCTTATAAGCGAATTTTCTTTAATTACTCTGCTCCGCTTGCATAAACAAAAAGAGAAAATCGTAAAATAATCGGCAATATTTAATGAATTAATTGATTCAAGAACCTTTTAAGCAATTAAAAAAATGATTAACCACAACATTAAACGCAAAATAATTTGAACAGCAGAATAATTGAATGAAGAGACAAAAATCGAAAAACAACAGCAGAATAATTGAATGAAGAGACAAATATAGAAGAAAAAAATTATCACTCTCTATTAAATACTCTATTTAACGCATAATTTTTATAAAGAGCCGAAAAGAAGAGAGATGTATATTATCAAATAACATAACGAAATACAAGACGGGAGATCTTAGTATTACCGATAATTAGCTTCGTGCTCCGATTTCAAATGTAGAGAGGGGGGAAGAGAGACGATACACCGAGGGATGATATTGTGATCGTTGGGATCCGGAGCCCGATCTGGATTAGGTGAAGTATATTTTGCACCATGTAGATTCCACCATTGTTTCGTTCTAGTCCGGTTAGTTTAGCATTTTCAATTATATCCCTGATAATTTTTTTAAAAGTAGCACAATAAGAATAAAAATTGAAAAAAATAACACAATTGTAAATTTAATTAAAAAAAAATAGCATAGTTTAGCAGAGTCACAAGTAACATCTGCAACTTAAGGGTCGTTTGTGTTAAATATGACTTATAATTCACATGCAATTCCAATTTACTAAAACTTTAAACACCTTTTAGAGAAATGATCCTCCATATTTGACTAGTGGTTAATATTAGAAGAATTGGAGTGTCGAGAGGTTTAACCTTCATCGATGAAGAGACGTAAGGGACCCATATCAACTCTCCTCCTCTTGCTAACCTAGATGGCCAGTCTCGAAGTTATCTCATCATAGTTCATTATATCCTCTAATCAAACCTTAAATGCGTTGAAATTCGAAGGAGTGAGAAAAACTTGCTCTAACTGGAAGAGTTCTCCAAGGAAGCTTCAATGACACTAATTACTGGTAAAATGACTGCCCTAAAAGGATATAAATGGAAGGAGGCGTAAATTGATGTGACCATTATCATCATGTTCATGAAACAACACATGGCAACATCATCGTAATAACAGAAGGAACAATTTTTATAAACGCTAAATTTTCAACTTTTTTAGTATGTTTGTCCCTTGAAATTCTTGGACACCAAATCACAACGAAGACGGTTACGACAACTCCTTTCATGGCTTGTATTGATATCAGAATAAAGTCTGTCTTTTCAGACACAGACTCTAGTGGGGGGCGATTGATGGGCTAATACCTACTCTACCCTAAACAAGGTCACAACCCTATAATAAAGCCCATTAATTATCCTACGACTAAAGCAATCGTGTTTTTCTTCTAGGTGCCTTGTAAATTATATGTGGCGAGTTTTTAGTATAAGTGCAGTAGAAGTTGTTTTTTAAATTATATTTTATTTAAAAAATATTATTTTTAATATTAATATATCAAAACAATTAAAAAACATTTAAAAATAGTAAAAACTAAAAAAAAAAACAGAAATTTTTAAAAATATGGTTAAGATACTACCTCGTAAATATCCCATGAAAACAACTTAATAGAACAAACAAAAAAGATAAAGATATATCAAAAAAACATTCTACTCATTTGCATTTATTATCCTCCTCTAGTTCTTGTCCAACAACGTAACATACATAGCATTTATAGTTTCTTTCCTCCCACAATCTTGCTAATTTAAGCATGGAGGGTCTCCTATGTTATTCAGGAAACTTTTTTGCTTGAGAAAAATCCTACGATTTCTTGTAGCTTATTCCCAGCTTCGTCACTTTGACGGTTGTGGCTGATTCAACCTTTCCTGACTAAAGAAGAAAAGTTTTTTCATGTTCAGGAATATCGGAAAAACAACATAGCTGCTACCTAATTTTTGAATACCAGCATTTGCATTCAGTGACATTAGTGAATTTTTTTTGTGAGTTTGCTTTGTTGCGATCAAGATTGGTGATGCAGGATATTGATGCTTCAAATATCGATGATGCCTTTTATGGTTATAAGATGCCCAAGATGATTACCAGATCAAGGGCCGAGGAATGCATGAAGACAAATATTGTCGATATGGTTGATATTGGCATGGCCGACTTTTTATACTACCAGTACTTCAGTTGCGAGCTTGGTGCACAATCCCAATTTGATGCGAAAACAGAGTTTTCACTTATGAATGATTCTCATGACACTGCCAAACTAGCTGGCCTTCTTGAGAATTTTATCAAGAAATATGTCCAGTGTTATGGCTGTGGAAACTCTAGAACTGAGATAATCACCACCAAAAGCCTGATGATCTAGTTGAAATGTACTGTTTGTGGTTTTGTGTCACATGTTGATATGAAGCTCACCATTTTTACTACGAAGTTTTACTATAAAGAATATATCAAAAAATTATCTTACCTGAAAACTTAAACTCAGAAACTTAAACTCTTAGGTAAAGTTAGATATAATTTATATTATTTTCTAATATATTTTTTCAAGTAAAAGCTTTTTAGACTTGAAACTTGCACAGACCTACATTAACTTGTATTTAATTTTTATTAAATAAATGAGGATGATGAGATTCGAACTCGTGATCATTTAGTTATTAAATACCATATCAAAGAATCATCTCACTTAAAAATTTAGATTTTTAAATAAAATTATAAAATATAATTTATATTATTCTTTAATAGAATCCTTATAAAATAAAGCAAGGATCGGAGTACAAAAAAGCAAATACTTCTGAAATAAAGCAAGGATCGGAGTACAAAAAGGCAATGAGGAGGGCTGAGAAGGAGGGACTGAAGGAAGGTAAAAATGCTAATGAGGAGCAGAAGAAACTGAACAAGAAAGGTAAAGAAAGGATCTTCTAAAAAGATGTCCATGCAAAAGCTAGCTCTACAAAAAAGAATGCAAACATTTCTGATGAGGAACGTTTGTCACCAACTCAAAGCCAATTTGATGAGAAGGAAGAAGTTGACGATGAATTAGATGATGATAATGTCCAGAAGCAAACAGACACATCTCTCGAGGCAGGTTGCCAACGCATTCAAAAGCAATTGAGTGCGCGCTTCACCATCTCGAGAGGAGAAACCAACAGCTGAGAATGGAAATTCAGTTACTCATGAAACTCTTGTCAATGGGGTGAAGGTGAACCTGAAGTCTTTTCCTGGTTTACTTACTGGTCAGCTTATGAAATGGTATTAGGCTTTGTTTGCAGCAAACTAAATTTGTTTGAAGTGCATTTTAGAAAAATAAATTATTTTTTAATATTTGGTAGTATAATAAAAAATAAATTAGAAAATATTTTTTAGTATTTAATTATATTATAAAAAATAAATTGATAAATAACTTATTAATATTTTATTTTTTTTAAGTTTATTAAAATAATAAGGACTAAAATTTATAAATTAAAAGGTTAAATAAGAATAAAATTGAAAAGTTTTATGTTGATCCTGTCATAATCTTCATTGCATTCATGGTATCTTAATGCTTCCTGTGCTTCTCGATCTTGTTGATTTTGACAAATTTATTCGAGATTAGAGGTCCCTTTCCTTTCAGTTGAAGAACATTTAACATGAGTTGTTGCTGCGTGCAGTCTTTTTGCACATGCACCGGGTTTCCTTTTCCTCAGAGTCCCCTGCAATTGTCTCATTTAGTCAATTTTATTAAATTTAACAATGAACACGCAATTAACTATTAAATGGTAATTGATATTTCCGTACGTTTCTTTTTCTAATAATAAAACATTTGAAGCATAAAGTGTTTAATACCCCAAGCTATCTGGTGCTAGATAATTAACTAATGCTATGAATTTGACTGGATTTCATTTCAAAATGCCCCTGGAACTGGGTTTCATCCAAATTCGATTTTATTTTATTTTATATTATGCTAATTGGGAAACAAATCCAATTTGACTGATGTTGCAATGCTGTATATATTGTAGATTTCACTGTGACCTTTTTATGTGAAGATGGCTGCAAGAATCACTGAAAGTAAGTCTGCAACTTATTTTCTAAATCTGATTCGGCAACGGGGAGAGGAGGATCCTGGGTAGGACTGTACATACTGCATTGAAAGAATTTCTGAAAATTCTTATCAAAAAGAATTTCTGAAAATTCCCATATGACTAGGAAGCAAGCAAAGTAATCTCCCATTTCTCTTACTAAATTATATCTCATTTAAAATATATTTTGCTAGGGTTTATCTTAAAAATTGAGTTACTATTTACGAAATGAAAAATTATTTAATTAAAAAAAAAATTAAAGTTTCCCTGAACAGCACAACGATTCATAAATAGTGATGGAAAGGATACAATACTTGACAAGTTCATAAAGTAATTATCAGTAGCAACAGCCAAGCAGATGAACCAGCAGTTTTCTGATAGCAGTTTAATCTCCTGACCAGAACAAGCAAACACCTATGAACTGGAAAATGATTTGTAACAGATAGCACTGCAAAAGCACAAAACATGAATACCCTGGGAAATCACAAAAGGGTAAAAAACATGGAAGCAAAATTCTACAACGAAAAGGAAAGATCATTAGATAAAAAATAGAACATTTTAGTTTCAGAAAGTCAGTTTTACTTGAGAATCCTTCTGTAACTTAAAAGGCATCATCACGTCATTGTCATAGCTTTTCTGCCTTTCTCACAATTGTGAACGCATATTGTGTGCAGAAAATCAAAGACAATGCAAGCAGATTATCCCTAAAAAGATGGCAGTTTCCTTCTCCAAGTATATGGTTAGAGTTTGAATTTTCTCACCGATGATAATTGAAGAAAGTCAGCATTTTGTGGGGAGGATTCAAAGTTGTTTCAATAGGATTATAAGGAGATAATGTGAAGAAACCAAAAAATGACCAGAAAAGCTATGCAATATTAAATTGCGGCATGATTAGACCAGTTTCTGCAACACAAGCCATCAAAAGTAAATTGCAATGCATCCTATGGGGATTCGGGGTTGGACAGAGAGATGCTTCTAAACTTGGAGATATGTTAAAAGCGGGAAAAATATAATTTTTCAGTTTAGATCAATTTCCTATTTTTATGTGAAAAATTTGACTATCACCAAAACTACCCCGTCAATCAAATAAATAATTGAAGTAAAATACAACCTTAAACTGTGTATTGACACTTCTTTTTCTTCAGATGGCTGTTGCTGTGGGCTTGAAACAATCAATATTGCACAAACCAACAGATCTTATCATGCCCCCAAATCTGCCACCAGAAGAATTCAACCATCAGTGAAGAAAAAGCAGAACCGCATGCGCATGCCACCAAGTTGGCCACAAAGGACAAAAGGACAAAAGAAAAGCATGCTATGAATGGGGAACGGGAACTCCTAGCTAGCTTACCGATCAATGCTATTCCTCGCTTTCTCATGCTGGTATGAACCATTGCTCTCTCTCTCAGGGCGATCCACACTTTTTCTTGATTTCTCTCTCCTATCAGTGCTGGATCTTGATTTCTCTCTGCGGTCTATGCTTAACCTAGGCTTTTCTTTTTGCTCAGCACTTAGCCTACACCTCTCTCTCTGATCTATGCTTGATATAGAAGCCTCTCTAAAATCTGTGCTCTTTCGATGATCCTCTGTTTGATCCACAATGGGCCCAGAAACATTTCTCATACGAGATGATTTCTCAATGGCTGAAATGAACTTCTTGAGATGCTTGATGTATTGCGGGAAAAGCTCCAAGTCACAATGATTCCCTCCCTTCACCCATAACGGTTCGTACTTCTCTTTACAACACTCCCAAAGCTGCTTACCGTGGGACCAATCCACAACATCATCAGCAGTTCCCTGCAAGAGACAGAAATCACAAAGGAATGCAGCAGATCAACAGAGAGTAAACTTGAAAAAAACCTTAGACAGAATGTTGCATGCTAGTAACCATGACACTTTTATAGAGTATAACCTTCAGTTTCATTAACCAAAGAGACAAGTTCCGCGTATTATGGTGGACAGGTTATGCATAATTGTGTATCATGGTGGATGACATTAGTCAACTATCAAACTAACATGCACATTTATCTCATAAGACAACCACTTAAACTGTACACCAAAATACCATAGCAGAGCCTGTGCTGGTCTTAAAGTACCTTGTTCATACACCATATGAGTTTAAAGTATATTCTGTATCGACTTTTCTTTTTTATTCATCCTCACCTGCATTATATTCACTACACAAACAGCAGCATCCCCTAGTTCCATTCAATTGCTTATCCTCAATTTTTTGGGCCTTTCAAAAGAGTTTGTCACCTTCATCCATCTTCTTGGCATTCAACTTTTCTTACTGCATTTCTTCATCTGTTTTTTTTTTCATCCTTTATTTCAGTATTCATTGTCCTTTTTTTAAGCAAATTATTCTCCTTTGGTGTCACCGCATTCTCCAGAGGTTGGAATATGGAGTGTACTATCTGATAGAAACAATATGCTTCTATTCTGAAAACTATAATTTTAAGAAATAAACATGTTTAGACAATTGTTGATTAGTCTTTAAAATTTAAGATGGTTAGAGGTGATATTAAGACCTGGATTTACTCACAGATTATGATGACATTCTTCTAAACTCAATATCTCTTGCAGCTTCTTTCATTCTCTCGTAAGTTGCTGATTTTTTTCCATGAAAACTCAACATTTTAATGGATGGTGAGTCTTGCTTTGATTGAAATAAATCCTACCTGACCCTATTCTTAAACTATATAGTCAGCTCCATGGATCTTTTGCTCAAACTTAATCTGAGCTATAGTTCAAGTTGATTACAGGATAGTTGAATCACAATCGTTGGAAAGAAGGTATTAAACATGTAGAATAGTTCAATCTGATTACAGGATAGTTGAATCCCAATCATTGGAAAGAAGGTATTAAACATGTAGAAAGAACAGAGCATCTTTTCTACAAATTGCAGCAATCAGAACAATAGTCTGAAATTCTGATCCTAAAGTTAAAACTCATAATTGCATCATAAAATCATCAAAGCAACAGAACTTTCCAAATTTTAATCCAGAATAAGCAAATGTGAGATTTTTTGGTGTAAACAGGAAGTTATTACAAACAATTTCACTTCATGATTGCATTTCTAGGCTATTCACTTAATATAATTTCTGGCTTGTGTGGACAACCATGCATCTGGTACTTCCCAGCCAGTGTCGTCATGGGAAAGGAGGATGGAAAGAAGAAGAATTATAAATTATAGCAGCAAGCTAAAACATCAGAAACATATCACATATTTTAGCCATCATTTTCAATGCAAAGAAATACTCACATGAATAACCAGTACAGGGCAATTGACCAAAGGTATTTTATCGATGTTCTGTGTCATAAAAAAGCAAGCAACCATTAAAATGCAGTTAACTTGTGAATAGCAAAAATACTCAAGACATCAAAGCTCTGCATATGAGCATTCAATGATGAAAAATACCTTGTATATGTCGAACCAATAAGTTCTCTTCACTGGATACATTACACGAAGACCAGAAGCAATAGGGCTGTGAAGAACCACAGCCCTTAACTTCAGTAACCGTGTTGCCAAATCTAAAGTGGGTCCGCTCCCAACTGACTGTCCATATAAGATAACATCTTCTTCTTTCACCCCATATTTCTCCTCAAGGCACCTATATGCAGCTTCTATGTCAGCATATGTATTCTGCTCGGTTGGCTGTCCAAAAAGAACAGTGAAACAACAAACAGTTCAGCTGTCTTCAAAAGAGCGCCAGACTAAAAACATTTCCAAAAAAAACCACTTCCCCATTTAGCTTCAACAAACCTTAACAACTAAATCCGACTGTCATTTTGGCTGTCCAACAATTGTCAATCAACTAAGAGGAAACTACAAGTCTAACACACTGACAATAATTTGGTTGACTATATATTTTATATGACTTGTTCAACTCCTCAAACAAAAATTCAAAAAAACACAAAAGAAAACCATAAATTCTCCAATTTCACTCCCTTCCATTTCATCTCTTTCCATCAGCTGCCAAACAATCCAAAAACAAATCTCCCAAGAAAAAGGACGATATTTTTATTTTCTACCCAACATTTTCTCAATAACCAAACAAGTCAATACCAACAAGAAAAAAATCAAATTCCAAAATTTCATTTCCTCCCCTTTTCCCGGAGACCAAACCCATCCCACCAAAAACAAGAACAAATTTTCTCTTCTCCCTATATTCTCTCAGCAACCAAACGCAACAACACCAACCAAAGCAGTTTTTTTTCCTTAAAAAAAAGAAAAGAAAAATCTAATCAAAATATTGTACCTTGCCAGTTGACTGTCCATACCCGCTATAATCATACCTGCATAAATACTCAACAAAAAAAAAATCAACGCTCACATTTCTTTTTTTTAAAAAAAAAAAAAGGTATCAGCTTTGACCAAGTGAACTGACCCCATCAAGTTAACACGGAGATGCAAACTGAGTTCACAAAACAAATCATACATCTGTCCCAGATCAGCTGCATTTCCATGCGAGTATAGCACCGTCAACGACGCCGCAGGGTTCTTAAAATACACCGCCACCACCTGATTCCCTCTCTTCGTCTCCAACTTCAACACATCTACTTTTTTCCTATTAGTATTATTATTGTTGTTGTTACTACGTACAGATACCCCCATCACCATCCTTAACTTCTTCCCACAATCCTCCTCCTCCTCCAACTCATACGACGGCGGACTCGGCGGGAAAAAAGCGAACTTCGCCGCCATCGTCGATGTCACCGCCCCCATTAAAATAACAAAGTAGAACTAGTAACCAGAGTACTGCCAGTTAGATTCAGTTACAATCCAACAGTAGAAAAAATCAAATCTTATTTGACAAGTTAAGTAAGGGGGTGCTTGGCTGGGGAGATAGTGAAAGGAGAGCAAACGAAAGGAAAAGGGATTTGTTTTTTGGGGGAGGGAAAGGGGAGGAAATTCCGGCGAGGAAAAAGGAAGGGAAGCACGTGTGATTATAGACGTAGGAGGAGTTTTAAACGGGGGAGATAGAGAGGAAGATGGAGATTGTGTGTCTGTGACAGTGATGGTGATGTTAAATTTGGACAAACACACGTGTCCTTGTGGGGAGAGGTGAGGGGGTGATGTGTTGTCCCTTCTCTCGGGGGATTTTTGCCAGCTTTAATAAAGTGGCCTTATGGTTTGGTCCGTCAACATTACAATGTTTGTGTGATGGGATTTTTTAGGTTGTTTTCCTTATTCTCGTAAGCATTATTATTTTCAAAGCATTGTACGGTTTCTTAGGTTTTTTTTTTTCCGTGCTTTATTGCCATTGGCCACATATGGGGCGTCCTAATAAGAGCGTACTTATTATAGCAGATGTTTTTATTTAAAAATATATTAAATTAATTTAAAAAAATTAATTTAAAAAAAAATATTTTTAAAATTAAAAAACAAACCATCCCTAAATCACAGGTGCGTGGTTAAGGGCAGCCATTACACCTTTGTTTTATAAGATTTTAATTTTTTTAAATTATTTTTTAATATTTTTAAATTATTTTAATATATTAATATCAAAAATAAATTTTAAAAAATTATATTATTTTAATAAAAATATTTTAAAAAACAACTCTAAAAAAAAAATTATACCATTGAGTTGAGTTGAGTTGTTAGATTAATTCATGAGTCATTTAATTAACTCATATGGGTTATTTTTTAATTAAAAAAAACATTATTTTTCATGTTAACTTGAATAGACTAAGCACAGTTAATAATTTATAGGTTCATCCGCCGAGTTAATGGAATTTGCAGAGATTAATAATTTTTCTAGTACAGATTAAAACCGCTTGGGTCACAAATTTCTCAGTGTTCGTTTAACAATTATGGATGGGTTTATGATATTAGGAATAGATTGGCCTAATATTCTTTTTTTCTGAACGGGTCTTGCATAAACTTTGAAAATTTGATCAAATTATTAGATGTCCTGGTTTCTCCTTTGTTATGGATGTTAATTACTTATAGATCCCATTTATTTAAATTAAAATTTTATTCATTTTCATGTTTCAAAAGTATTTAAAAAAAATTAATTTTTTTTATTTTTTATTTTAAATTAATATTTTTTAGTATTTTTAAATTTTTTTATGTGCTGATATAAAAATAATTTTAAAAATATAAAAAATATTATTTTAATTTATTTTTTAAATAAAAATTATTTAAAAAAAAAACACAACAAAAGGCCCAGGGAATCAACATGTGCAAGTTAAATAATGTTTAAATATATAGAGACAAGCTTCTTCTTCTTTTTATTTTTTTATTTCTTCAATGATAATAAGCGTCCTTGGATAGGTATATATACCAATTAAATATTCTTTTCTGTACGATTTTTTTATTAAAAAAACACATCTTTTATAAAATATTTAATAAGCTCTTTTGAGTGCTGGCTTTAAGGTTTTAAACTCAAAAGCTGAAAATAAAAACATGTTTTTTTAATCACGAAATCAAACTCTTAGATTATATAAATTAATTCCTAGTTGGATTCAAATTAAGGTTACATGTTGTCTCATCTTTGTCCATCATCACTACAATTATTCAACTAAGACAACTAATTAAAAGATGGATAATTAGATAAGCTCCTTGTTGAATCAATCATGAGTTGAAACTCCCAGATTAAGGGTCCATGCTGTCTCATCCTTGTCCATCATAGCTACAATTATTCAATTTTGACAACCAAAAGGTGGATATATTGAGCCACACTTTAAGAGCTGCTTTTACGGGACATTATGTTCAGATAATATTTAAAGGGGATTTTTGGTATGGTGGTTTAAATATTATTTTAAAAAATATTTAAATTTATTATTTTTTAATTATTTTGAATCGTTTTTACATGTTATATAAAAAATAAAATTTAAATTATTCTTAACATTTTATATAATAACTTAAATTATTAAATTACAATGATTTTTTTTATATAATATTAGAACTTTATTGACCGAATGGATATTATTTTAAATTTTATTATTTTTATTTTTTATATAATATTAGAATTTTATTGACCGAATGGTTATTATTTTAAATTTTATTATTTTTATTTTTATTAATAAAAATTAAATATAAATTTGTGAAAGTTTATAAAAATTTTAAGTTTAAAGTTTTTATTATAATAATATAAAATTATTTGTAAGATTAAGTTTTTTTTAAAAAAATAATAAGTTATTTAACGGGGAGTTGTCATCAATCATTCGACTCCTATCCTTTGTGCCGTGATTGGTGCAATGGAGACTCTCTCTTTATGTTTTGTTCTTTTTTTATTTTTCAATGCTTCACTCACTAACTTGAATGCCCTTGGTTTATGCTACATATCTTCGTCAACAAATGAGGAATGTGGCATGATTTTAAAAATAAAATAAAATTGACTGCAAATTAGGGCTTGGTCTAGCGATGGAAGGGCTTGTTTTCTTCCATTGCACCTGGGTTCGAGCCCTGGCGTGCACGCCTATCACCCCCGTGATGCCTTATATGCCTACTGGGTTTGCAGGGTATTCAGTGGGCCGTGGGGATTAGTCGTGATACGAGCAAGCTGGTCCGGACACCCCATGTAAATAAAAAAAAAATAATAAATAAAATAAAATTGACCATTTCACCATAGATAATTGTTTAATAATTTGACCAATTTCACCATAGATAATTGTTTAATAATTGTCAAGGCAAGGTTAAGCACATCTCACAGCCGAAGTTGTTCACATTTTAGAAAGATTGTTGATATGAAATTGAAATTCAATTTCCATTACTGGCTATAATCAATAGATGATGGCATTGTCCACACTCGAAACACGCAAGCTCGCATCCACAAAGACAAAAGGGATTTTGAAAACTGTGAGGAAGAACAGATGGGGCTGGGACAAGTGGGAGGAGAGAATGGAGACATTTTTTGATGATTGCGATTGAATTTTCCTCATAGATTTGCAAGGATTTCTTCTTTTCATTTAGATCTTGACATTTGGCGAGGGGTTTTAGAACTTCTTTCAAGGGCTCCACTTACATGAGAAATTGATAGTTATCTCTCATTTAATTTCATTGTCTGGGCCATGTTTTTGTACCTCACAAAATTGAGATTATTTTGATATTGGGCATCTTCCTCTTTTCGAAAAAAATCAATTATGTGCTGTAAGCTTTATTGAGTTGTGGGAATAACGCACCGAAAAGAGATTTTGAGTTGGATTATAAGGTTTTTTTTTCAATTTATTTTATTTATTCTATATTATCGAAGTATGCAAAACATATATATATGTATATGTATATGTATATGTATATTAGTATTTGAAAATAAATTAATCATAATAATCAACCAATTAATACTATAGAAAAGAGAAATAAAAGATGAAAGATACCATCTCTCCTTCACAACTGGCAAGACTCTCGAAACTCTTTATGGCATTACAGTACACAGAGACGGATGCTGCTTTCCCTGCCTTTCTGTAAAACGGTACAAGGGTTATTATACCAAGCCCAGATCATCTGATTATGAATCTGTCAGTAGGAGCACAACTGCAACCTGTTTTCTTGAAGGCTCCCTCCTACTGTACAATCAAACTGCAAAGACGAACAGACAATCTTGAAGCAGTTGTTCTTACAGACAGGCTGTTGAGTTTTCATAACCCAAGGTCTGCTCGATGCTCCATGATACATCTGCTCACAGGTAGTTCATCAACCAAGTTTAATCCTGGACGACAAATTCTGGACGACAAGGAGTTTATCTACTGCGATTAATCCGTTTTATTTTTTGATTTCTTTTTCAATTATTAGTGAGAATTGTTTTCCTTCTCGGAAAAAATATGGGAACTTGATGCTCAATACTCTTTCGTTTTTGCCTTCTAATTCTGGGATTCAAGGAGCTCAAGGACTAATTAACTATTAACTAATTACCTTTATTTACTAAAAAAAAGTGGCATGTTTCGTGGATTTTCAATGTTTATTAACTTATAATAAAAGTAGCAATGATTCTTAATCCTTTTATAATTTGGTATTTTTTAGGTTTTGTTTTGTTGTCCTTTTCTATTTTACAGTTTTTAAGAGGGTCAGCCAGGATTTTTTTTTTTAATTTTTAATATTAAATTAATTACTCAGGATTTTATTTTTTATTTTTTTTTTTAATATTAAATTAATTAAAATTTTAATTTTATATTTTTATATTTTATTTTTATAGAGTTATCATTATATCATGACAAAAGATAACAGGTTTTTGGGGGTTAATCATGCTAGCTTGAGGTTTTTTATGTCTTTTTTAATTGAGTTTTTCTCTTCTTTATTTAATTTAATTCCTTAAAATTGAGTTAATCAAAATTTTAATTTCATAATTATTTTTTATTTTATCTATTTGAAGTGATCACAATCTTATGATTTGAATCTGACAAATTAATATAGGTTGACTTAAGATTTTTTTTTTTGGTTTTTAATTGATTATTGACAAGTTAATTTTTTTAATTGATTATTTTTTTTTCAACTTTATCATTTGATATTAAATTAATTGAGAATTTAGTTTCCATTTCTTTTTATTTTATTTCTATAAGGCTATCATAGTCATAACTAAGATCAGATGTTTTGCAGATTAGCTAGGTTGGTTTGGGTTTTTTTAGTTATTTTTTAATCAAGTTTTTTTAATTAATTACAATCTTCAATATTGGATTGATCAAGATCTTAACGTTATTTTTTTTTTTTGAGTTATTATGGTTTGATAATCTAAATTTGACAAATTAACTTGAGTTGACTCAAGATATTTTTTTATTTTTTAATTGATTTCGTAAAATAATTAAAGGGAGGGGGTTGTTTAAAAGTACCAACATTATTTGGGGCCCATATTCAACAACTTGAAGGGTTCACACCCTAGAAAATGAAGAAAATCCAACACTAAGTTAATTTAGAATTGTACCTCATATATTTTTTATTTGTTTTCTATGAGATTATTATGGTCTTATGACTCGGGTTAGAGGTTAATTTGATTGCCTCGTGTTTTTTTCTTTTATTTTTTTTTTATTTTTTTCAATTTCATTCTTTATTATTGGTTTGATTAAAAATTAGAATTTATAATTTATTTCAATTTGTTTTCTATGAAGTTATCTCGGCCTCACGACTCAAGTCACGAGCTTGGTCACTTGAATTATTTTGGTTTTTTTGTGTTTGATTTTTAAATTATTTTTTTTTCAATATTGGGTTGATTGATAATTGAACTTTATAGTTTGTTTTATTTTTCTTTCTATGCGACTATCTCAATTCCATGACTAAGATTTGATAGGTTTAATCTGAACTGATTAGACTTATTTTTCTAATTAAATTTTGATATCAATTTCATCTTTCAATATTGATTTGATTGAAAATATTTAGGCTAAATACAATTTTGTTTTTGGTTTTCTACATGGTTATCATGATCTTATAATCTAAAATGAAAATTTGATAGGTTAACTTAAATTGATCTAAGTAAATCTAATATTTTGTTGTCTTAATTTTTTTTAAAAAAACATCGTTTTAAATTTTGTAGTCAAACTAAATTTCCTTAAGTCATTCGGGTTGTTTTTAAACTTGCAAAGTAAAATATATCATATTAGATCAATCTTTATATAATTAATTTTTTTTATTTGAAAACTTGTTAACACTTGCATATTTTTTTGTATATGCAGTAAAAATATGATCTGATCTGATCTATCTATTATTAACTATTATCTTTTCTACTAAAAGAACTAACATATTTAAATTGATTATATTACATCGAATAGCTTTTATACAATTTAATTTTAAATATGAGCTAAGTAAATAGTTATGCTGAGAACTGTTTTCAATTAATTTCATTATTTTTTTCTCATTTTTTTTTACCAATCAACTAAATTAGTTTTGAATCAATCAAGTGGATTATAACACTTTAATTCTTATATTAACACTTTAATTCTTATATTATTTAATTTTAAATATAGAATAAACATTAGAAAGTGCTATAGTAAAACAATTAGAGGGAGGGGGGTTGTTTAAAAGTAGCAACATTATCTGGGCCCGTATTCAACAACTTGAAGGTTCACACCCTAGAAAATGAAGAAAATCATCATGGAATCTACCATGATCTAACAAATACACAATCATCAAAAGTAAAAAATGTCTACTCTCATCACTATCTCTCACTACAAAAAGCTTTCTTCTTGCTCATGCAAAAGAATAAAAGAGTGCAGATCAAAGTGGATTATATTAGAAAAGCTTCAAGCCCGTTTGAATACCTATACAAGTACAGAGTTGGCATAGCTTCCCTGATCCTTGTAAGAATTCTCACAAAAAAGGTTGCATGGATAAATATCTTTTTTATTTAATTACCGTTCCATCCTTCTACTTGTCCAAATTGCTCAATAGCCTCCTTCTTTCTATATACATTTTTCTTTAAAAAGATTTTTTGGGGACCGACAGAGCATCAAAGACAAATTCAGTAGTTTGCTCTCAGTCACAGCTCTGACCGTTAAAATGGCACTCCAGTTTCGCTGCCCGCATTGGGCAAGGATTTGAGGTTTTAACTAAAAACCAACGGCTGTAATTTCATAGCATATCAAACTGGTCGGTCTTAATTTTATTTGAGCAAAAAAAAATATAAGACAATGATACTCAAACTTTGGTTTATGTTTATGAAAAAAATAAAATAAAATTAATAGTAAAACAATTAGAGGGAGGGGGGTTGTTTAAAAGTAGCAACATTATCTGGGCCCGTATTCAACAACTTGAAGGTTCACACCCTAGAAAATGAAGAAAATCATCATGGAATCTACCATGATCTAACAAATACACAATCATCAAAAGTAAAAAATGTCTACTCTCATCACTATCTCTCACTACAAAAAGCTTTCTTCTTGCTCATGCAAAAGAATAAAAGAGTGCAGATCAAAGTGGATTATATTAGAAAAGCTTCAAGCCCGTTTGAATACCTATACAAGTAGAGAGCTGGCATAGCTTCTCTAATCCTTGTAAGAATTCTCACAAAAAAGGTTGCATGGATAAATATCTTTTTTATTTAATTACCGTTCCATCCTTCTACTTGTCCAAATTGCTCAATAGCCTCCTTCTTTCTATATACATTTTTCTTTAAAAAGATTTTTTGGGGACCGACAGAGCATCAAAGACAAATTCAGTAGTTTGCTCTCAGTCACAGCTCTGACCGTTAAAATGGCACACCAGTTTCGCTGCCCGCGCTGGGCAAGGATTTGAGGGTTTAACTAACAACCAACGGCTGTAATTTCATAACATATCAAACTGGTCGGTCTTAATTTGGTTTGAGTAAAAAAATATATAAGACAGTGATACTCAAACTTTGGTTTTTGTTTATGAAAAAAATAAAATAAAATTAAACAACATTTTCCTCTTGAATGTGAAAAAAGAATGGTAAATCTACGAGAAACCCTTTTATTAAACTAACCCGTTAATTTTTAATTTTTTTAATTTAATTTCTTATATAATTTGAGTTTTAAATTAAATTATATAAGATAAAAATTTAAAATAATAACTTTTATGTTAGACTAACTCCAGTTGAGCCATTTGTCTTATCTGTTCCCTTGCCTTGTCCTCTTCTTAATTAATACTTCTTCAGTGATTAGTTCGGGTGGATTGAAATTCATTATAAAATTAATAATAAAAATATATTTAATTTATGTAATTAATACGCTAGGGTATGAAGAATGCTACAACATTAGAGAGATGCATGTGACTTCCTTGAAGTTTTGATAATATTTTTTTTTTTGATACCGTTGAAATAATTTTAACAAAGACTTTCTTCTAACTCCCTGGTTTGTTTTTATATTTAAAAAAAATTAAAAAAAATTTAAATTTTTTTATTAACTTCTAATTAATATATTTTTAATTTTTTCAAATTATTTTAATATATTATTTTCAAAAATAATTTTTTAAAAATAAAAAAATATTATTAACATATATTTTAATATAAAAAAATTATTTAAAAAGCAATCACAATTAAATTCTAAAATTAAAAAAACAAGTGGCGGTGAAAAAGCTCCAATATGGTTCTAAAACCCAATTTTTCTCTTCTTTGTTTTCCCTCTACTCCATTGGGTTTCTAAGCCTAAATTATTTTCTTCTTACTAGGGATGCATTTTTTCCCCTAATTTTCAATTGTAGTACTTTTAGTTTTAATATTAAAAAAAAAATCAAAACATTTTTTTTTACGAAATCAAGCTACAACTCGATAACAAAATGCTTGTTTTTAAAACCCCCGCATCAAGCCTATCTAAACAAACTGCGAGGACCAGGCTTGAATAAAAACAGCGTTAAGTGATTGAATAAAAAAAAAATACATGACCAGAAAAAATTATAGCTTGGGAATCCACAGTACAATTATTTATGGTAGCATAGTGGTTGAAATAGTAAAATGCTCAGCTTCAGCCTGGATCTCCTGGCAACTTTCCACCTGGTAAACCTCCAAAATAAGTCCACTGACTTGGTTAGGGTATGAGCCTTGATACGGAAATGACTACATGTTTTCTCTACAGGAACTGTTATTAACAATAAAGTCTGCCATCCAAGAAACCATGATTTCTATCTCTGTGCTCATGCGGGAATGATTGTGAGTATCACATAAAGCTGCGTTTTGGGATCTCACCGTGATTTCTTGAATGTGCTTTCCTTTGGCTGTAAGAACGTCCAGTCTTGTTAGGTGACTGCTAACCCCGTCTGAGGATGTCGTCAACCTTCCCACATTTCGTTGTCTAAAACTATCCCTGAATCCGGGGTGGAGATTCTTACACACCTTTTCTTTACAAGGGCAAACCCATTGCATGCTCCTCAACAGTGCATTTCAGCACTGTTAAGGTGTGCTGTTATAAATTAATGGATGGCCCTGAATGTTCTTTAATTGTTTTTCCTTCATCTAGAATGAATTGACAAGCAAGTAAAGATACCTTTGTGATAATGTTTTCCTTCCTTTCGCTAAAAATTAACATGTTTTTTTTTATTCCAGAAGACATTGTTGTTTATTTACTTCGCATGCAAACATCCATCTCGCAACGGAAAATACCACAATTCTAAACGAAAACTAATTCGTTTAAGGCATCTGTGAGAAAACATGGAGGGAGACTGATTGAACCACGGCAACTTCTTGGTTGGTTTTCACTTTCCCTCTCGCCTTTTCTTGGGCCATTGAGTAATAACTAGGTCAAAAGTTATACTTCATGTTTAAACTTGAAGACTTTTCAAACTAAAGACTTGTACTTGAAGGTGAGATCTTTGGTAGACACTCCCAGATCCAGTAAACCTCCAGCAAATACCAGCTATATGTACCCCTTTATTTATATCCACCAACAACCAGTACAAAAATTAGTGGAGCCTTGAAGAGGAGATGAACAGCTTGTAGTGGAGCCCAACCAATCCATTAGCACCAGAACATTTTGGTATTTTTTTAAAGATCGTCTCATTTTTAAACTGTGAAAGCTTGTCACTTCATGATCACGGTCAGAACAGGAGTCAAAGCAAGATGATGATCAGTTCAAATTGGAAGAAATTAAATACAAAAAGGGGTGATCTTTGTTGAATAATTCATTCATTTTTTTTTTTCAAAAACAAGCTAACGACAATACTAGCATATTTATTTGTGAATCATCACACTTGTCTATCATTTTCTTTCTTTTTTCTTTTATGTTTTAGAATATAATTGAAAGGTTTTTTGCACGCAAAATTATATCTATTTTCTAATCCAATAATATATAAGGGTTTTGTTTTATTTTTATTTTTATTTTTATATAGTACAGTCTATTTTATGAGTCTCACGTTATTCAAGAAAGAGATTTCAAAGGATTCATTGGCTTTTTATGAAAAAAAAAAGAAAAAGAAAAAAGAAGAATCATTTGAGTTTCACATGATTACTAATTAATTTTGTTGATTAAAACTGAAGGAAGCATTTGATTGAGAATTCATGAAACATTAAGGATCTAATTGAGATAGAAAAAAATAGGCTGGGGATTTAACCAGAGCGACCCTTAAAGATTGGTGACTTTTTCTAGGTTTGCCCAAAATGATATTATTATTTTTAAATTTTAAACTTTTTCTTCTTCTTTCCAAACAGTGGCAATAAATTAAACACCATCCAAGAGAGTATTTGAGTTTGGGTTCTTACTCTTCTTTCTCTGCCAGAATTTTACTTGTTTCGGTTCTGTCGAGGTGTTCCTCGCCAAGCAAAATAGTATCATATAAATTGCATCTAAAGGTAACCCATTTCTAATCCACCAACCAAGCTTCCATTTCTATGTTCTCACATTGATGGTAGCTCTGTATTTACTTTGAAATCATTTGATTTTGTTCAGGTTCTGGATCTGACTGTAAATTAGGTTTTTTTTCTTATATCTGGAATAGAATGAAATCTGTAGTCAATGATTGTTGAATTTCTGTTGTTTGGATTAATGGGTTCTGTTTCTTGATGCCTGAAGTCATCATTTGGGGTTTAAAGTTTTGGTCTTTTCTGCTTCATGTGCAATGAATTAGAGCTTACATTTCGAGTTTGGAGTAGAACTGCTATTGTACAATCAGGGTTTTGGGTTTTTTGAGTTTGAGAATTTCTGCCATGGTTGGTAGTCCTGGAGAATCATCTGAATCTGGGTCTATTGTATCTAATTCTCACTCGTTGAAAAATGGGGGTTTGCATGATGACGATGGTTGTCCTAGGCAAGTGTCACCAATTAGAATCAGTGGGTCGAGGAATACAAGTCCTATCGGTTGTGTTGGATCAAGGAATACTAGCCCTTCTCGCCAAAAGGTGATTAAGACCAAGCCCCGTGGTTTAGATGAGGAAACGGTAGCTACATTTGGTAAGGTTGTTCACCCAGATGTTCAAATGGAGGATAACATATGGGCAATGTTGCCTGAGGATCTGTTGAACGAGATTTTATTAAGGGTTCCTCCGTTTATGATCTTTCGTCTTCGTTCAGTTTGTAAAAGGTGGAATTCAATTCTCCAAGATAGTTGTTTTCTTAAATTTCACTCACAAGTGCCCTCTCATGGGCCTTGTCTTTTGACATTTTGGAAGAACTTGCAGACCCCACAATGTTCAGTTTTCAGCTTGCCCCTGAAAGCTTGGTATAGAATTCCGTTTACATTTTTGCCACAGTGGGCATTTTGGTTGGTTGGTTCTTCAGGAGGCCTTGTTTGTTTTTCTGGACTTGATGGGCTAACTTTCAAAACTTTAGTTTGTAATCCGCTCACGCAAACTTGGAGAACATTACCAGGCATGCATTATAATCAGCAAAGGCAGTTGATAATGGTTGTGGATAGAATAGACCGCTCATTCAAAGTGATAGCCACTGGTGATATTTTTGGGGACAGGTCATTGCCTACTGAAGTGTATGATTCAAAACTTGACAGATGGTCGCTTCACCAGATAATGCCTGCAGTCAACCTTTGCTCCTCAAAGATGGCATATTGTGACTCTAGATTGTACCTGGAAACCCTTTCACCGCTTGGTTTGATGATGTATAGGCTTGACCCTGGTTACTGGGAACACATTCCAGCAAGATTTCCCAGGTCCTTGCTGGATGGATATCTGGTAGCCGGCACTCAGAAGCGTCTGTTTTTGGTTGGAAGGATTGGCCTTTATAGTACTCTTCAGAGTATGAGAATTTGGGAATTAGATCATGCTAAGATTACATGGGTGGAGATTAGTAGGATGCCACCAAAGTATTTTCGAGCTCTGTTGAGGTTATCAGCTGAAAGATTCGAGTGCGTTGGTCAGGACAACTTGATTTGCTTTACATCTTGGAATCAAGGAAAAGGTCTTCTATATGATGTGGATAAGAAGGTCTGGTCTTGGATTCCTGGATGTGCTCTTCAATCATACAACAGCCAGGTCTGTTTCTATGAGCCAAGATTTGATGCGTCCATCTATTGAGCTGGAAATCTTGCTTGCTCTCAATGCCCTGCTCTTTCTTCAGAACATTCAATAACTAGGCCTTGTTCTATTGGCTGATTGTGACTGGTGAGTTCAGTTCCTCTGGCTTTGCATGCTAAATTGTAATTATTCGTCGACCTAGGAATCATTTCACATCACTGAGTTTTCTTATCAGCTAACGATTGTATGACTTGGAATCAAGATTCTATGATGCCTTTGGCTTGAGCAGTGTCGACCTAGGAATCATTTCATATCACTGAGTTTTCTTGTCTGCTAACGATTGTATGACTTGGAATCAAGATTCTATGATACCTTTGGCTTGAGCAGTGCTGCACTCAAGTCGTTTGGATAGGTACTTAATGGATAATGATATCTTGGAGAAAATTTGTAAGATTCTCTCTTTTCCAGTTTTTGTGCATTTCTGAAATATTAAATCACGTGAAAATTACCCATCTTGAACGATTATGATTTCCTTGCTCATTAGTCGTGGTGCTTGTTTCTTTATATGCTTGTTGACATCATTTTGTGCATTGTAGTTGCGTTGTTTCTTTATATGCTTTTTGACATCATTTTGTGCATTGTAGTTGCGTTACTCATTTGGTTTCTGACTTCTCAGTGTTCTCTCACAAATGGATTAGCTATTATTTAAGCATATAATTCTTGGCTAGAACCATCTCATGTTTTTCAAGATTGCCATTCCTGAAGGAGAGCCTTTTCTTCTGGGTGGGCAACATTTCTTGCACCCTGACACGTATTGATAATTTCTAGAAAAAATTGTCTGGCATTATTATTACAACGGCTACATGTATATATGATGGTGCTTTTTAAGTTATGCTAGTCGATCACCTCCCCTCTTCATATCAATCATGTCTTTTTAGTTCTGTTCCTTGATCTTCTCCCCGCATCTTTATTCTGACCATTTGCATTAGCCAAGAATGGTCATATAGTTTTGATTTCTGCAAAATCGGAATAGTCTTTCCTCCAACTATTGATACCATCTCGTAAATTCTCCTCTTTTGGTGGTTCTGTTGTACCAGCCTGTACGTGTTCCATCTGCAAATATTATTTTCCAGGTTCAAAACTTTATTTTCATAATCTGGCATGTGTAAAAATTGCACATGAAGAAAGAGAGGAGATGCTTGATAATTAGGCAAGGGAATCATCGCATAGACACCTATTTGTTCTTCACTGCGGAAGCTTTTGGTTACTGTTTTGAAAGTTTAGAAATTAATTAGATTTATTTTATGTTCATGAGTTTTCAATCATACATGTTTTTGTCTTTTCTATGTCTGTCCATTCTATTCCAAAACATTAACAAAACACAACCTTAGTTATATGTTCCTTCAAGATGTGCCGGTTGAACAAGTTAACAACTATAGAGACACCATCCCTCTTAAGCCACTCTAAATGGCTCATAATGTGCAGCTGCTCAGTCAAACTTCTCTCGGTTACCATCTTTTTATCACAAAAATTCTGCTATTCCGAGTTTAATTACAACCCGTGAACACAAAAGTTTTACGTATGAGATTGGATTAGGATCTTGCTTTCTTAATCAAATCGAGCGTGTCCCAATTAGAGAACTACAAGATGTTTTCCACTGCAAATATTGCTGCTAAGGGAATCAGCTGGGTGATCCTGTTCCATGCTGCCTTTTATTTCTGCATGTATGGCTGCAGATCAGCCTCGTCTTCAATCAAATCAAGGAACTGTTGATTGGTTTTTTTTAATTTCCTTCCTCAATCTTCTTCTTCTTCTTTCAAATTGGGCTTCGGTAGAAGTTCACACAATTAATGGAAGTTAGATGGAATTACTTCATCAGAAGTTTTAAAAGGTACCTTGTCCACTTCCATTAATTACAAATTGACGCAAAAAAGTACCTTGTCCACTTCGTTTTCTTTTCCGGTCCCTTGAGATTTTGATATTATAGTTATATTCCAAAAAACTATTCTGTTTCTTTATAAAGGAAGGAATGAAATAGTAGTTGAGGTTGTCAGTGGTTGCATTTTAGTGATAAAAAACAAATCTTGATGGCAATCAAAAGCTCTATTAAAGTTGTTTTCAACCTTCATCTTCCTAGAAAAAAAAGTAAATCAGGTCTTAAAATATTATTTGGATTCTAGTTGATTTTTTATTTATTTTAACCAATTTAATATTAATTTAAAAATATAAATAAGTTTATTAAGATATCTACGATATTTCTTAAGTATTTTTAAGTGAAAAAAATTAAAAATAAGTTTTTTTAAACTCTTAGAAATTGAAAAGCAACTTTCGATGGTCAAAGTGCAACCAATTAATGACGCAAATGATGTACAGATCGTTTTTTAAGAAAATAATTGGATAAACAACCCAATTTAGCCAAATAAATAAATTAGATTAAGTATGTGAATTCGACCGTGCATGCTTGCGTTTGCTAGGCTTGTTTTTTAGGCTAGAAGCTAGCCCACCAAGCCAAGGTTTATTGGCTCTTTTTATGAGCCCTTATTGTTTTTTTGATTTTCATAAAATTTTATTTAAATAAAATAACTACAATTATTTTACGAAACCTTTTCATTAATTACCATTTAATTTTGAATTTATTTTCAAATTAGATTATAATATTTTTATTATATTATTAAGTATTCTTTTTATACAATCATTCATGATCTTCTTTAAATTTTAAGAAAAATTAATATTAATTAAATAAATAGAATTATATTTAATGATAGATACAAACCAATTTGATATTTATTCTTAAATAAGATTTGAGCCTTTTTTATTTTTATTTTTATAATTTTATCAGTTATTTTGATGATTATTCTATGTAAACTTGTTATGCAGATAATTTTATGTTTGTGGACATGAATATTTTACGAAAATAAATTTTAAGTAATTTTAGTTATTGATAATAATTTTTTCAAATTTCTATTAATTTTTTTCAATGAATTGTGCTTCTTATAAAAAAAAATATTTTGTGAAAAAATTACATGAATCACAACAAAAAAGTTTTGACGCAAAAATAAAAATAAAAACATATTTTTTATTATTAAAACTTGCTTTTATAGTTTTTATAAGCTCTTATTTAAAAGAAAATTCTTTTGACAAAGAAATGTAAAAAAAAAAAAAAAGAGGGGTGCGTATTAATAAGATGGAGGAGTTTTTAATTGGTATGATGGCTTTTTTTTTTAATCCTTATTTGAGATCTTCAAAAGGATTTTTGATATTAATTCTAATTGCTTTATCTTTTTTATGGAATAAATGACATATATAGCTCGAAAATCTAAATATTGTTTGTTAAGAAAATCCCTTGAAGAGATAAATGATGAAGGAATTATATTAAAAAAAATATTTTGTTTTGATAGTATTTAAATTACTGTTCTTTTTGCAAAAAAAATTGACTTGTAATTAGTTAAAAAAATTTTTGAAGAGATTTCCAAGATATATGATTAGATATTTTAATCTATATTTATTTTTCATCTTCCCAACTTAGTATTTGTTAGTATTAGAATATTTTTTTATTGACAGATATAATTTTCAATTAATTTTATTAAACTGACAAACAACTTCTTAATTCATAATTAAAATTTTTAATTATTTGTATAAGAAAAAGGTGTTAACAATGTCTCTCTCTCTCTCTCTCTCTCTATATATATATATATATATATATATATATATATGTTAATTTTTTTTTTAATATGACTTAAAACCAAAAGCAAGCTAGGTGACTAGTAGAACTAAAATTCTAATTTAACTAAAATTAATTTGGGGACTTAAAAATATTTTTTAAGGGTTTTAGGGGTGGGTCTAAAATAGTCAGTTTTATATTCAGCCAATGTGAGTATTCATTTAGTTTTTAACTTTTTATTTTTTTTATTTTTTTATTTAGCGATAAAAGATATTCTTTAATAATTTTATATGTCAATTAAGATTTAATTTCCTTTTACGTAATTTTAAAATATATCCTTATACTGATTTTATGTTGAATAAATTCTACTAGATACTAAGCTAAAGACTTGAATTTAAAGAGTTAAAAAAATTGAAACATGTTTTATTTAGCCATTAAACTAATTTATTAAGACTATGATCTTTATAAATGGCCAGATTTAGTTATTATATATAATCCTAAAGGCATTGTGGTATAATACCAGCTCTCCTTGGGATTTTATTGACCTAAGGGGTTTAATTAAATTATAATATAAATTGTTTTCTTAAAGGAACTAACAATTAGTCGTACAGAAAGTCTCAGATTTAATTTTGCATTTTTATATTGGAACTTAATATTTTTTCAGTCTTTTTTTTAAATTATAAAAAAGATATCTTAAACCCAAAACCCTTTGAGAGGATGAACAAGTATACTGTGTCAATTAAGCTGAAAGTTCACTGGGATCCTTTCTCTAATTACGCTGCAGTAAATCCCTAGCAAACCACCTCAGCCATTAGTTAATTGGAAAGTAGGGAATTCATTTGTTAAGACCTTGAGAGTCAAGCCGGTCAAGTAATTAACTTATAAATTGTGAAATTAGAGGACTCAGTTATAGGTTTCTTAAGAATATAAAATGGTTCTGTTACAAAGAACTCGAAAAAGAAAGAGAAAATGTCAAGGCGGGGAGAAATTTCCTGATGTTTTTGAAGAAAGCAGTGCAGAAACCAATGCCATCTGCGAGGAATCTTTCTTGGGTCTCAAAGACTTTGCCTTAACTTTTGTGCCATTTATCTGAAATTAATAAGCATGAATTCGTTACTTAATGATTATCTTGAAAATACATGTGAACTTGTCCTCAATAGGCAAGCATATGTTCGTTTCTTCGAGAATTGAGCATTGAATGGCAGCACAAGAACAGGCCCTGCAGCTCTACCTTTCCACATGAACTTAGATTCTCCAAGCCTCGGAAGCTCCAATATTTCCGTACACCATGGTGCATTTATATATATCCAAAGCCTCCAATGCCATGCCATTGTCATTTACATTTTGGTTTTAACGTATCAGAACCATACACATGATCTTCTTAGACAGCACGAACTGCTACAAGTACCATCAAGTTTTGAGCTTTTAGACATTGATTAATGGAGCCTTACTGTGGACATGTGTCCCAATCTCCTTTGTGGTAATAATATGTGATGAGTTTTTGACTCAATATTTTCACGGCTTTAAACAATCTTG